GAAGTTGAGGCCATCACGACCTCAGGGAATTAACTCTAGGGCTTAGGGCTTAGGGCTTAGGGTTTAGGGCTCGTAGGAATCTCGGGCTAAGAGCATTTTGTGGACGCTCGCAGCCGAGTGGATAGAGGGTTAAGGGTTCCTTGGAGCCTTACAAAACACACTAAACCCTGAGCTCTAAACCCTCAACCCTAAACCCTAAACCCTGCGACTCTAGAAGGACTTCGCATGAAAAGCCTCTAAACCGAAAAACCATAGACCCGAAACCTTAAACTCTGAACCTTAAGCCCGAATCTCTAAACTCTATAAGCCCTAAGCCCCAAGCTCCACGGCGAAGGAGGCCTCGAAGACGGCCCACGATGGCGAAGTTGAGGCCATCACGACCCCAGGGATTTAGCTGTAGGGTCTAGGGCTTAGGGCTTAGGGTTTAGGGCTCGTATGAATTTCGGGCTAAGAGCATTTTGTGGATGCTCGCAGCCGAGCGGGAGAGAGGGTTAAGGGTTCCTACGTTAGTGTTTGGTCTTCCTTACAAAATACACGAAACCCTAAGCTTTAAAAAGCCTCTCAACCCAAAAAACCCTCGACCCGAAACCCTAAACCCTAAGCCCGAATCCCTAAGCTCTAAGCCCTAAGCCCCAAGCTCCACGCCGAAGGAGGCCTCAAAGACGGCCAACGATGGCGAAGTTGAGGCCATCACGAATTCAGGGATTTAACTCTAGGGTCTAGGGCTTAGGGCTTAGGGTTTAGGGCTCGTAGGATTTTCGGGCTAAGAGCATTTTGTGGATGCTTGCAGCCGAGCGGGAGAGAGGGTTAAGGGTTCCTACGGTAGGGTTTGGTGTTCCTTACAAAACACACTGAACCCTAAGCTCTAAACCCTCAACCCTAAACCCTAAACCCTGCGACTCTAGAAGGACTTCGCATGAAGAGCCTCTAAACCGAAAAACCATAGACCCGAAACCTTAAACTCTGAACCTTAAGCCCGAATCCCTAAACTCTATAAGCCCTAAGCCCCAAGCTCCACGCCGAAGGAGGCCTGCAAGACGGCCGACGATGGCGAAGTTGAGGCCATCACGACCCCAGGGATTTAGCTGTAGGGTCTAGGGCTGAGGGCTGAGGGTTTAGGGCCCGTAGGATTTTCGGGCTAAGAGCATTTTGTGGATGCTCGCAGCCGAGCGGGAGAGAGGGTTAAGGGTTCCTACGTTAGGGTCCGGTGTTCCTTACAAAACACCCTGAACCCTAAGCCCTAAACCCTGCGACTCTAGAAGGACTTCGCATCAAAAGCCTTTACACCCAAAAACCCTAGACCCGAAACCTTAAAGCCTAATCTCTAAACCCTAAGCCCGAATCCTTAAACTTTAAGCCTTAAGCCCCAAACTCCACGCCGAAGGAGGCCTTCAAGGCTGACAACGATGGCGAAGTTGAGGCCATCACGACCCCAGGGATTTAGCTGTAGGGTCTAGGGCTTAGGGCTTAGGGTTTAGGGCTCGTAGGATTTTTGGGGCTAAAAGCATGTTGTGGATGCTCGCAGCCGAGCGGGAGAGAGGGTTAAGGGTTCCTACGTTCCCAAGCTCCACGCCGAAGGAGGCCTGCGAGACGGCCGACGATGGCGAAGTTGAGGCCATCACGACCCCAGGGATTTAGCTGTAGGGTCTAGGGCTTAGGGCTTAGGGTTTAGGGCTCGTAGGATTTTCGGGCTAAGAGCATGTTGTGGATGCTCGCAGCCGAGCGGGAGAGAGGGTTAAGGGTTCCTACGTTCCCAAGCTCCACGCCGAAGGAGGCCTGCAAGACGGCCGACGATGGCGAAGTTGAGGCCATCACGACCCCAGGGATTTAGCTGTAGGGTCTAGGGCTTAGGGCTTAGGGTTTAGGGCTCGTAGGATTTTCGGGCTAAGAGCATGTTGTGGATGCTCGCAGCCGAGCGGGAGAGAGGGTTAAGGGTTCCTACGTTCCCAAGCTCCACGCCGAAGGAGGCCTGCAAGACGGCCGACGATGGCGAAGTTGAGGCCATCACGACCCCAGGGATTTAGCTGTAGGGTCTAGGGCTTAGGGCTTAGGGTTTAGGGCTCGTAGGATTTTCGGGCTAAAAGCATGTTGTGGATGCTCGCAGCCGAGCGGGAGAGAGGGTTAAGGGTTCCTACGTTCCCAAGCTCCACGCCGAAGGAGGCCTGCAAGACAGTTGAGGCCATCACGACCCCAGGGATTTAGCTGTAGGGTCTAGGGCTTAGGGCTTAGGGTTTAGGGCTCGTAGGATTTTCGGGCTAAGAGCATTTTGTGGATGCTCGCAGCCGAGCGGGAGAGAGGGTTAAGGGTTCCTACGTTAGGGTCCGGTGTTCCTTACAAAACACCCTGAACCCTAAGCTCTAAACCCTCAACCCTAAACCCTAAACCCTGCGACTCTAGAAGGACTTCGCATGAAAAGCCTCTAAACCGAAAAACCATAGACCCGAAACCTTAAACTCTGAACCCTAAGCTCGAATCCCTAAACTCTAAGCCCTGAGCCCCAAGCTCCACGCCGAAGGAGGCCTGCAAGACGGCCGACGATGGCGAAGTTGAGGCCATCACGACCCCAGGGATTTAGCTGTAGGGTCTAGGGCTTAGGGCTTAGGGTTTAGGGTCCGTAGGATTTTCGGGCTAAGAGCATTTTGTGGATGCTCGCAGCCGAGCGGGAGAGAGGGTTAAGGGTTCCTACGTTAGGGTTTGGTGTTCCTTCCAAAACACCCTGAACCCTAAGCTCTAAACTCCAAAAACCCTAGACCCGAAACCCTGCACCCTTAAATTTAAACCCTAAGCTCGAATCACTAAACTCTAAGCCTAAGCCCCAAGCTCCACGCCGAAGCAGGCCTTCAAGATGCCATCAGGTCCCCAGGGATTTAACTGCAGGGTTTAGGTTTTAAGGTTTATGGTTTCTGGGATCTCGGGGTTAAGAGCATTAGGTTTTTATCGTAGTTTCCACATCGCGCTCCTCAACAATACGATCAACTAGCTAAGTCAGAAGAAACTTATAACCTTCCTAATGTAGGTTCCCAGATCTAAAAAAAAAGCCGGTGCCTTAAACCCTAAACCATAAAACCTATGAGGAGGCAACCGAAAGGGAACAAAATTGGCCTAGCATAACTCCTAGAATGGACTCGACAGGACTGGGTATCCTTGGATACTTATGGAGAGCATGGACGTTTTCTTCGGCTCCTGGATGCTTCTCAGAAGCTTAAGGATGTATGGTTTAGGGAACTCTAGACCTGAATCCTACAGCAGCACACTGCTCCTTCTACAGCAACCCGAAACCCTAAACCAGACCTCCTTAAATTTAAGAGTTTGCCCGGGCTCTTAAGAATGAACCATAGTCACTGAACTTCCCTTAACCCAGCAACCCTAAACCCTGAACCCCTACCCTAACAAAGGATTGAAGAGGATGAGACCGCGCAGCGACTTCCCACGCGTGACGTGTGAGATGGCTGGTCTGAGCTCTACCGCAGCTCCCTAGCGTGATTGCCTCGCTGCACAGCACATGGGGTCTAGCTCAGACGACAGCAGCAAACTGAGGAGCCAAGCACGAACGCACAACATGATGCAGCAGAGGAGTTAAGATGCGGTGCATAGTTACCGAAACTTGACGGTGTGGTCAGGTGCGTGCGATTGTGCAAACTTTTTTTCACCCAACAGAAGTTGCAGGTATAGATTCCTGCGGATTGTCGCAGACAATCTGACTTCAGCAACAAAAAAGCAATCCAATTCAATATCATATATTGAACAAGTAGTAGTGTTTGTCGTGATGTATTTAGGCATATAATAAGTGATAAGGCAAAAATGAATTTTTATTAGTGTATATATATGATGACTACGGATGCTAAGCGAAATGAACCCTAAAAATCCCTGCCACATATATATATATATATATACATATATATATATATATATGGATGGATGTATGTATGTATATTTTGCTAACATGTGTATGTACATCCAGCATTCGTATACATGCAATCGCTGATGCTGATCGAATTTACTCAAAAATCCGATCCAGCTGAAGCCTTAAGCCGCGCCTTGGTGAATGCGCTTGAAGCTGTCTCGTCTTTCGCATCTTTCTCGGCTTTCCTGGGGTCTACGTGTGGGTTGAGGGTTTTAGGTTTTCGTTTGAGGTTTAGGGTTTAGGGTTTCAGGGTTTAAGGTTTAAGGGTTTCAGGGTTTAAGGGTTTAGGGGTTTAAGGGTTTAAGGGTTTAAGGGTTTTAGGGTTTTAGGGTGTTTTTGCCACCTGCCTTGCAGCCTCGCAATCACACTGCAGAATGGCTTTCGGGTTTGGGGTTTAAGGGTAACCTGAATCCCAACTACTGAATGCCGTGCTCCAGCTGCGTTCTGTCCATGGACTCCGGCATGACAAATGCGGCCACGCACAGCACAGATAGGTTGATGGAGAAAATGATCAACCAGACGGTAGTGTAGTTCACCTTGAAGGGGATTGGCGGCCGAAGAATCACGATGCTTGCTACCAGAATCTGGGGCCTGGCTTGGATCGTCGCGGGGCGACACCCCTCTGCCTCCAAAAAACCCAAAAACCCCTGTAGCTCAAGGTCCTTACTCTGCTATGTTTTGCACGTTGTCTTAGGTCCCTCAAACTCTGCCATGTGCTATGTGTGACCTGTCCACAGCCTCACAACAAACAGTTTTGCAGAAGAGCACCTGTTTGTCATGAAGGCCAGCGGGTGCAATCACAAACTTACAAAAAACTGAAAGTCCTTAACAACCAAGCCCACACAGGTTTTTGTGATGAGGGAGGGCGAACATCGGCTCTCTCTCTCTCTCTCTCCCTCTCACTCTTCAATGTGATCATCCCATGCACTGAACCACACAAACCTTTGCAACGAGCAATGAGCAAAGGGCCGTGAAAGTTGGAGCCACTTGTAAAAATAATGCTGCGGACGTCCTCAGTGGACCTGACTATTCAGGAGAAATTTGGAGTTTGGGGACAGACTGTGTTAAAAAAATCAACACCCTAGCTAGGAGGGAACTATGCGAAGACCCCCGCGATGGAAACCCGACATCTTAAGCGCCAAGACGCCAACTCCAGGTACTGCACGACGTTTCCCAGCACAGGACCCCACAAGAGGTTCCCTATCATGTCCAGCAGGCCCTTCACCTGAAAGAACGGGCGCGGCGAATGAAGGGTTCCGGGCTTAAGGCCCGACCAACTGAAAGGAAAAAACGGACGCTCCTACATGGGAACTCACCCGCCTCAGCTCGGAATGCAGTGCATGGGCTCAAGCGGCTCAAGTTGCAAGCTAAGTCCAACTCCGTGCCTGGTATGTGGCCATTCCGCCCCCCTTCCTCGAGATGTCGAAGTAGATGAGGCCTTACGGAGACCCTCAATAATCCAGTCCCAGATTTGAGAAACACGAGGATTTGCCGGTTTGCCTGTGCAAGCAGTCGCCAGCTTCGGTTTCTCAGCGGACTAGACACGGATCGGGTCTTTGTCTTGCCTCAATCCCGCGGAAGGAGAATGTAGCTAGCAGCGCTCCCGTTACTACCCAAGTTGCTTCCGTCTTTGAATCCTCGACACTTAAAAGCCGCATGACACCATTGTTCACGCGGCTGGGTAGCTGGACGTCCCCAGAATCAAGTCGCTAGTTGGGCTAAACTGGCTTGATTGATCCCTAAACTGCACCCAAACCTAAGCAGGCTTCCGACCCCCCCCCCCCCTTGCCCGAAACAAGAAGAGGACCCTCAAGATATTCTTGGAAGGTGCTGGCAATCTTGGGGCTTAGGATGGTTTGACGCCTTCAACTTTCGGTCTAATGCTTACCCTCCCGGTCCCTGCCTGCTAAGTGGTCGATGGGAAGGAGGCCTTGTAGACCTGTCAAATCTGGAAGCAGCGGGTGAGAAAAGAAACAAGTTCTGCCCCCGGGCATTTACGGCACGCAAGGGTACAGCCCAAGAATCTCATTGTAAGTTGGTAGGTTCGAAAGGGGCCCACACGTCGAAAGCTAAGTGGCAGTAGATCCCCAAAAGCCCAAACCCTCGCTTCAAGCCCCCCCAGCTCCTTTGAAACTTCAAACACACAAGAAGAACATGAAAACAGCGGGTGTAGGCACCATAAAGTCTAGATAAAGCGACACCGAAGCCTTTTTTCTAGCTTGTTGGCATCAGAATTTCGTCTTGCTGGACAGGATCTCGCTTCGGCTTTCTTCACATCCTTAAACCCTAAACCCTAAACCCTAAACCCGAGTAAACCCTAGTAAACCCTAGTAAACCCTAGTAAACCCTAGTAAACCCTAGTAAACCCTAGTAAGCCCTAGTAAACCCTAACATGAGCAGCCTTGGCCCAGGACGAAAAGCGTACGGCTCCAGCTCGGCAGCGCGCAGGCCAGGATGAAGAGAGCCACTGAGAGGGTGGTGCCGCAGAGGCCCGCCATAAGAACGACCTCGAAGGGTTTAGGGTTTAGGACGGGCGGTTTAGGGTTCGGGGTTCAGGGTTTAGGGTTTTGGGTTCAGGGTTCAGGGTTTAGGGTTTCGGGTTCCGGGTTTCGGGTTTAGGGTTTCGGGTTCCGGGTTCCGGGTTTCGGGTTTAGGATGGTTTAGGTTTTTTTAGGGTTTGGGGTTGGAATCCCCTGAGCCCCTGGACGACCTCCCGACCCAAATCGCAGGGTTCTGTGTGTAGTGCCGTGGCCATGAACCGGTATCGACTAGATTCCCTGCTTGTTGTTTTTCAAATTTAGAACGTGAATGACCCCCCAACATTGGCCCCTCATGGATAAGTTCAGTTGTTTTTTTGGATGGGGGTGGAATAGGGGGCAACTGAGACTTCTTGCACGTTGTCCACCCCTGCAGCAGCAGTTTCAGATTTCAGAGGTCAACCTCCAAAGAAGAGGACCTTAAGCTACCTGAGGTCACAAGGGGCTCAGGGAATTCCAACCGTGCCGCCTGCCTTGCGCCCGAACACGGACCCCAGAACGGCGACCATGAGGATGGAGGCCAGCATGGCGCAGCTCTCTTGCGCCTGCCCGCGCTGGGAGATGGAGTAGCCTACACTGATGACCTCCAGGCGGTTGCCGCACCTTAGTCCAGGAACAGCCAGCCGGCACTGAACAAGCCTTCGCTGCCAATCAAGGCAGCTAAACCCTGACACCTAAACCCTATACGCCCCTCAGGGTTCAGCTACTGGCGGCTCTCAAGGTTTCGGATTTGTTGAAGGGCCCCAAAGTTGAAGAAACAGACGCCAGGCTAAGTCACAAACCCAGGCACCACTGGGATCCAGTGTAGACGTCCAAAAGTGGCTCTGTGCAGGACACGAGTGATCTCGCGAAGGCAATCTCCACCTCGGCACGAGACGCATGTGGGCCCATAATCCTGTAGTGGGGCACGAATATACTCAGCCGAAGCTTGTGATGTATATGGAACCTGAAGGGGGTTTTGCTCCCAAGGCAGGCTCAAAACAGAACCGGTTCCTGGGGTTGTTTGATGATTGTTGGTGTTAGCGAGGATTTTGCCTACTACTGATCGGCTGAAGGAGGGAACCTGGTGGTGGAAAACCCCTCTATCTGTTGCAGCCTTGCAGATCCGGCAAGCTGGAATTTCCTTCATCCCCTTGCTACAGCCATCCCTTTGGGGAACGGGACCTGACTAAAGCCCCACTGTTTCTTGCGTACTTTTGCGCAGCGATGTTGAGATCCGCAGGAGCTGATGGCTCCTGGCTCTTAACTTACATCATATGCCAACTTGGAATCCCAAGCCCTAAGCCCTAGGCCCTAAGCCCTAAACCCACCAAGACCTCTCCCAAGTTCCCAAAATCAAAGCGGCACAACCTGGCCTGATTGACCAAGTTCTTCATGCCGAAGGCGAAGAAAATTACGCCGAAGGTGGCCCAGTGGGTCTTGATCTCCTTGCGTCTCTCCCAGGGTGGTTTAGGGTTTGGGGTTTAGGGTTCCCTTCAACCTCCACAAGACAGGGCTCTCAGTTCGCGGCTTGCGCAAGCTAAAGGGGGGCCTTGCCCCCCCTAAAGGGAAGGATCTTAGGGGGGGGGCAAGATAGTGGCACAGCAAGAGCCGAAGCTCTCAACAGTAAGGCCCTCTTTTCAGAACCAAGCTTCTTGTTGGAAAGACATGGCAAGAATGGCCGCGGCGCGACGCTGATTTAGTTGGATGTTGGGGTTCAGGGTCTGGCTGCCCTCGACTCAGAACAAGTGAGCTGACATGGTTCAGGGCTTACTGTTGTAGGGAACGAAGGGGACACTAACCGACAGTGTGAGGAAGAGCTGCCACAGGATCTGCTTTCGCAGATGTGGGGTTGAACTAGCTTGAGCACATGCCCTCAGCCTCACGCAAAGCGGACGTAAAGCAAATTGAATCACTCTCTGCACGTCCACAAGCCCTCGGTCGCATGGCACACCCCCCACCTCTCACGCAAAGCATCAAGTTTCACGCGATAAGGTGTCGTGGCGAGCTTGAGCAAGGGTTGTAGCAAGCCCTTGAATAGGGTTTTGCACTGCTTTTGCTGTCCTGGAGAATAGTCGTATGGTAGAGAGCAGCATAGACCACCCTTGCTGGCACTTTCGTACTATTGCTGAGCTTCGGCGTGCGTCACACTTCCCCTGCTACCCTTGCAGGCTAGTTGCTACGTAATGACATATAAATTTCAAATGTGGATTTCAATTGCGGTGGAAGAAGATTCAGGCATAGCAATCCGCGTTTCTTGCAGCCAGGGTCAAGGAAGATGGTCTTTGGGTGTGGCTAGCTTTTTGGTAGGTCCAACGAGTCGGATTAAGGGAACATAACATCCACACCCTCAGTGGAACTTGAACTTGCGCCGTGGATGAGTTTAAGGTTTAGGGTTTAGGGTTTAATTCGGGCTTAGAGTGGCTGCAATCCAAGATATGAACAGTGACAGCCGCACAGGAAAGAATGGGGGAGGTATTGGGTTAAGATGGCCGCAAACCACGTTTTGCAACTTGCGGAGGCATAGGATTGCTCCGTCTAAATTACTAAACTGGTGCATGAACTTTCCAAGCCCCCTTTCAGGGTTGAGGAAAAGACTTCACTTAATTCTATGCTCCACGTTGTCAGCAGAATGTGTTGCATCAACGTGGCTCAGAATGCTCCAGGCAGGAATGTCTTCTCGACAACCTTCCGCCATCTGGGCGTTGCTCGCCTCCTTCGTCTCTTAACATCGAGTACGGAAGGATGCGATTATGGCAGAAGACCTGGGCACCCAGCCCTCAGAGAGACTCATTCCTCTTAAACACGAGTCTCTGCCCATGTCAGGTTTCCTTGTGAACCTGAAATTCAGGCAAAAAAAGCTTTCAATTGCGGAATGTTCCGCCTTCGAGGGGGGCCTTCAACCTCACATAACCCCATAGTGGAGAGTCGGAACCGTTGCGGAAGCCGCTATCGCTGTGGCTCTTTCTGGATCTTCGGCTCTTCTCCTGAGCAAAGAAGCTCGCACGAGCTGAGAAAGGGTCTCGGGGCACTTCGGTGTGGGACTTCGGGCCCATTTCGTCCGTGTAACACTTCCGCCAGCCTCTGGGTTCCTCGGGATACACAGGGCTGAAGTGTCCATCTCCTCGGAAAACGTTCTCGCGCCATGCTCTGGGCGCAACGAGGGAATTTCATCTCAAAAAACAACTCTCTCTCTCTCTCTCTCTCTCTGTTGCTGTTGCTGTGAGAAAACACGCTTGAAAACACTTTCCCTATAAACCTTAAACCCTTGTAAGCCCTCAACCCTTTTTATGGTGGACAAACGAGAGCTGAGCCGCCTTGAGCAGCCTCGGCATCCTGGGAGCGCCTGAAGCGTGGCTTGCTTGACCGCAGGCGCTGGGCGACGGGGCCCAGGAAGACCTGGGGGGACGCTTTTAAGGGAGAGGGCTGCATTCTGAGTCTCAGAATCTGAGCCCCCCAGACATTGAAGAAACAAAAAACCCGAAAACATCGGAAGCCGTGGGCAAAAGGCATCAGAAAACACTGGGCAACCCTGCGAACTTCATCACGAAGTGGTGGAGGAAAGCAAGGAGGGCCAAAAGGCCCAGGAGCTTCCACTTGAAGGCCTCACCGAAGCCTTCGTGGCGGTTCTTGCGTCGGTGATCTTCATGATCGCACGATTTGTGAACGAATTTACATTCTATACTCAAAATATGCTCATGTGAAGTGACCTAGAGGCAGTTATTCGGTCCCACGCAGGCGCCGACGTTGAAGCCTTTGCCAGTGCTGATGATCGGGTGATCGAGCGGCAACTGCTCCAGTATTGCTTTTGGAGGTAGACAGTCCTCAAAAGACAGCCAATAAGAAGGAACATATGGTCAAGTGCTAATTTCGTATATTTAAATACAACATACCGTAGAACCCAAAAAGGGATTCGGAGTCCGTGTCTGGTGAAGGAAGCCACGGGGAGTCGCCATCTGCAAGAGGGAGATGCGGACGTGTATGATTCTGCCAATACTTCACCTGCACAGGACATACAGCTCCTCAGCCAAACCGGGCCAAACACACTTTGTTCTTCCTATGTCGGGCCAGGTCGCGCAATGGGGGGTGTTCCCCGTCGCTTTATATGGTTTTAAGGGGCGTCTATGGGCGTCGCTTTTCGGTGTTCCCTGTCTCTTTACAAGGTTTTTGACACTACTGCAGGCAAACTTCCTACCAAGATAAAACGGCAATGATATAGTTGGTGAGACGCAGGTATGGGTAGGAGTGGTAAGCTGGTGGTACTATCACCCAAAACTGGCAAAGGCCCCGTAAACTCTATACCCCACAAGTATGGTAGAATCCCCGTCGTCCCCTTCAAGGCACCCCCTTCCCCCATCTTAAGGCCACATGGAGAAAAAAAGGGGGGGGAGGCGCGCCTGGGGGCCGAGAAAGCACTCGCCGACTCCTCCCACAGACAGCTCGTCCAGAAGGGGAAGCGACTTGCATGCCAGGGAGTTCCTTGGACTCCGGGACACAAGATGTCCCCCCATTTTTTTAGGAGTAGGCTTCTAAGGACCACCCTGTGTAGGATGCGATGTTTTTGTTAGAGTTGGTGGCGGCAATTGTTCTGCTTGAAAGGCTTCTTGGTGGTGAGCTGTCCCGATAGCACACGTTGAAAGAGTTGCAGGCTCAGTGTAAGACTAGTCCAGGTCTCCCTTGATTTCTGAAGCATCCTTACCGCCCCCACTCGCCCAGCACGACCCTATTGAGCGGGGGCTGGTCACGCTCAGGGGACAACAGTGAACGAATCGAAGCAGGTATGGAAAACATTCACAGAATCACGGGCAACCCGGGCGCGGCGTGTCACAGTTGACCCGGTAAAGACAGTTCAGTAGGTTCGGGGCGGAGAGGGTGATGAAGGCAACAAGGAAAAGCACGGAGAGGTACGAAGCATTGATCCCCCAATTCAGGCAAACGCTCCTCCGGAAGTTGCCTCCGTATGTGTTGACGTACGAGACCGTTGCCAGTGAGGTCAGCCAGAAAAGCGAGCACAAGGCACCGTCGTAGTTGTCCCCTTTCAACATCCAAAGGTGTGGCGCGATGGAGATGTCAAAAACGGGGTTGAGGGGGTCATACCAGGGCTGCGACTTGAGCATTCTGAAAGCGCAGAAGAAGAAGAGCCAGTTGAGTAGAACCTGCACAGTGATGGTGCACACGGTCCGTGCGCCCAGCAAGCTCGCTGTTGGACGGATGCTGGCCAGATACGGCAAGGCTCTGGATCTTGTCATGAAGAAGGTCATGACCATGCCCAAGCCGATGTCCTTTGTCAACCACATCCACTCCCCGACAGTGACATTGTTATCAATCAGAATTGTCAAGTTCATGCCGCTGATGCTGATGGCTTGCACGATGAAGTAGGTAAAGGTGGCCAGGTTGGTGGCCAAACATGCGCGCCCCTCGCGGATGAGGTCTGGGATGGTCAGAAGTGAGATCTGGCCGCTTCTCCCGTTCACACCATGGCCTTCCAGCCTGCCTGTTGAGAACGGGGCTACCAAGGAAGCTTCTGCACTGGACAGCGCGATGCCAGCATGAGCTGCGCGCAGGCCTCCGCAGTCGTTGCCGCCGTCCCCTGCCATGCCGACAACCAAGCCCTGGCGCTGGAAGTACTTGACTACGTTGACCTTGTCATCCGGCTTCATCCTACCGAACACGACGCAACGTGGCCAGAGCTTCTGAAGTAAAGCCGGCTCCCGCTCAGAAAGGTGATGCCATGCAGCGCAAGTAAGAGCAAGCTGACAGTCGGAATCCTCCGCTTTGCGCGCTTGGAGAGACCCTTCCTTGTCGGGGTCTTGCCACACCAGTTGCTGGCTTTCTACAGTGGCGAGCAGGCAGTCACCGGACACAATGCCACACTGCCTACCGATGGCAATGCCAGTCAGCTCATTGTCCCCCGTGCAAATGACGCTTCGAACTGCGCCGTCCTTGAGTTGCTGGATTGCCTCAGGCGCTTCCGACTTCATCTCGTTCTTGAAGAGCAGCAGCCCACAGAGCGCGACGTTTTCCTCGAGGTCCCCGCGAGGAAGCTCACCCACCTGCTCATCAGATGCACGAAGCCTCTTGTGGCAGATGCTGATGGTGTAGTAGTTGGCCTTTGCATGCTGCATGACCGTCTGGTCGTAGTTAGGTGGCAGGGACGATGGGAGGGCTAAGGCTCGGATCTTCTCGGGCGAGCCCTTCACGAAGACATCCACTTCGCCCACCTGGCCCTGTCTTCGGACAACGATGCCACTTGTCATGCTTTTGTGGTCAAACTGAAGTTCTCGGAGGATCTCATACTTCTGGCCGTTCGCGAGAGTAATGGTGTCGTGGCCGATGCTGCAGCTCATCTTCCGCACCATCGCACATTCCAGCTCGTTGCCTACAAGGCTGCCGTCCTCGAGCTGCTTCACCTAACGCCCATTCAGTCAAAAGAGCCAGAGGTGCTGGGGTGGTTGACTCTGGCACTTTCATGGCACGCTTCTAATTATATAGTTTAAGTAATATGTGTGATGCACTCAGTGCTGCGCTCTCTTTCAGAAACTGTGACGAACGGATAATGGCCCTAGCTGCAAGGAACAAAATGAATGGACATGGAGGCGATCGGCCATGGAGACCTGCAACTTGAGAGCCAGGCTGTTCCGTGACTCTGGTTGCGAGAGCCTTAGACTGCCTTGCCCCGTCGGAGTTCTCGCTTTTGCCTTTTGCTTTCAACTTGCGTATGTGGGGGGGGGTTTCCGAAATTCGGGGTACCTTATGGGGGCCCTGATTATGATTAGACCCCCATATCATGTGTCGAGTGTTTGATGTGTTGGCTCCGCGTCTCTGTGTTCGCCACGTCACGGTGTGGCACACGGCCAGCGCGGAGTGCAGGAGCTCGGGCATCCCCAGCAGCCAGCTTTCGAGAACGGCTTTGCCGCACTCGCAATCGGAGTCGAGAGTCTCGGGCCTCCCGGGCCTCTCGCAACCCTCGAGTGCCTCGAGTCTGAGCGGCTGCAAGAAGCGCGCCCCCTCCGACTGCAGCTGGGCCTCCACGTCCGTGCGCACCGCATGCACGATATGCACGCCGGCAAAGTCCATGGTCGACTTGGTGATCGTGCCGGTCTTGTCGAAGACCATGGTGGAGATCTTCCCAGCGATGGGGATTCGGCCGGGCTGCAGGCACTTGATGTTGTACTCTTGCCCAGTGAGCCGCTTGGCGGAGACGGATTGGCCCATGACCAGCGAGACGGGTAGCATAGGGCTAAGTGCACCACAGAGGGAACAGAGGATGTGCAAGTACTGCACCACGCCGGAGCCTGGGTCGACCGCCGAAAGATGCAGGATCACAGCCAGGATGGCGTAAAGGCACATGAAAGCATAAACAAGGGGCAGCTGGTCAGTGTACTTGAACTTCACACTCGATGGGAACAGAACCATCCTCACCAGTTCGCCCCTGGCGGTGCGAGCCCCTACTTCAGTGCAGTAGATGAGGGCAAGGCCTCCGTTCTCTTTCTCCCCCCTGGACTCAATCACTCGGGTCCCTGCATAGGCCTTGTTGCTCTTGACGTGCAAGTGGTTGCAAGGGGCATCCTCCACGGGCATCTTGGCGATGGGCATCGGCTCGCCTGTCAGCATCGACTCGTCCACCTGTCTGTGAGTCTTGGTACCAGCAGCTCTAGAAGACCCCGTTTTAGCCCCAACGCCGAACACTCTTCAACTCCCGCCCCAAGTTATGAAAGGCTCTGGGGGCGGGCTTTGAGGGCTCAGAGAGGGCAGCAGAACGACATAAGTCTGTTTGGAAGAATTCGAGGAACGATGAGGCTGCCGCTGATCACCACGCCATCACAGGGCAGCTCCGCGTCGGCTCCTCCCTGGACCTGCACGATGTCCCCCAAAACAATCTCGGAAACGTCCACCTCCTCAAGCTGACGATCCCGGAGGACCACACAGGCCTTCTGCATCCTCGCCAGATCAGATACCCTCTTCTGACCCGGTCTCGTGATCCCAAGGGCCCGGTAAGTGCCGGAACCCAGCGTCATCAGCAGCCACAGGAGGCCAATATTCCAGGTGGTGTACCTGGGTAGCCATGCTCTATGTGAGTAGAACCTGAAATCAGCGGCATCCGAACCCGCCCCCACAAACCGTACACTAGTAGCCTGAAACTCCGGGCGCACGGCAGAAGACTCGAATTTCGTGCGGCTCGGCTTGGCCCGGGACTTTGGCAGTTGTTTTTTTGGGTAAGGGGTTCAAGATGATAACAATCGAGTGGCTGCTGGTGTGAAGTCACTGTAAGAGTCGAGCCACTGTAAGACTGTAAGAGTCGTTGAGGTCTTGCACACGGAACCCGGCTAAGCCAAGCCGCGCACCAAACACAAAAGAAAACCACACTGTCCAGAACCCCCCCCCCCCCAAAAAAAAAAAAAAAAAAACATTACTTCCCCCTCCCCCACTTGAGCCGTGTCCCCCTCCCCCCCCCCCCCCCCCCCCCCCCCCACAAAAAAAAAAACACAACTCCCCTTCTCCCCCACTTGAAGCCGTTCCGCGCAACGTAGGTCCAGATCCCGATGGAGTTGAAGACGTAGGTGAAGTGCCCGAACTCCGCCACCAAGGCCTCCAGTCGGCCTCGGACGTCCCTCCCACGAACGATGATATATATATATATATATATATGCATATATATATATATGCATATATAAATACATATATATATATGCCTCCTTCTTCTTAACATGCAACTTCTTATTCCGTTCAACTAAGCCTGTTGAAAAAAATGGGACCAAGACTTCGGCACCCCTCTCCACAAAAACAAAAAAATAGAAGAGGCACAGCACTGGGGGGGAGGGGGGGGGTCGCCTTCTGAAGGGCCGCAGAGGCACTGGGAACTGGGACGTGGATGGAGTTCAAGCCGCAGGTTTCCCTGACACTCCGGGCTTCCTGGTCCCTCAAGCCGCCAGCCCGCAGTCGGCCGTGCATCTTCTGAGCCTTATCTCGCGTCAAATGTTGTCGAACATGGTGCCGTATTCAAAAGCACACCCCACAACCCCCCACCCCCCTCCCCCCCGCAGCAGGCTTCGGAGTCCAAACATCCCTAAACGCTAAACCCTAAAACCTCTTAAGTAGAGCAAACTCGCCTTTGGGCCACAGGTTCCCCGAATAGGTGCTTTTGGGGTATCTTTAGGTGCTTTAACAGCTTTGCAGATCGGGCCTCGGGGATGCTGTGCCCTGCCATGACAAAGGCGCCACAGGACTCGGCGCCCTGGCTCTCACCTCACTTAAGGGTTTCGGGTTTAGGGGTGTGGAGGGGCTTTCTGTGCGTCCGTTTTGAGATTGATCGTCTTACTGCCTTCACATCATCTTTGCCCCCAAGAATTCCGTCAGAATCGTCCTATAACGTCCCTCTCACTCAAGCTAGTGTACTTAATTACACCAGCGTGCCAACGAAGTGGAACGAAGCATAGCAATAACAACAAAGCTTCAGGGACTCCACATATGCCACGTCACTGTAGACGTACCGGACGCAGGTGTACTCCACGTAGCGCTGGCCAGTCTCGCTCTGGAGGACGGGCAGAACCTCCCTCATGCGCAGCCGATGGAAGTACTCCCCGCAGACCACTAGAAAGGACTTGTGCTCTTCGACTGCTAATGAGTCAGAGCCTTCGGGGCACTCCGGGCACTCCTGAACGATCACATGTGTCGCAGCACTCATCCTAGCAACGGGCAGCATGGCATGCGACTGCATGGCATCCCAGAAGATGAGTAGCACCGCAAGGAAGAAGTGAACCAAAGAGAAGCAGACACACCATGGAAGCATCAGACCCTCCCAGGAATGGAAGGTTTCGACCCAAAACTCGGGCCCAGGTGGAAACCACAAGTCTGCGAAGATCACGTAGGACATCCAGCATCCCCAGATGACCACCAAGTAGCCAGCACCCAAGAGCAGCATCCAGGATCTCATAAGCAAGGAGCCGCAGAGGGAGGTGCGATACCCGTACTGCACGAAGCGTCGGGGCTGCTGGGGCTCCTCCCCTGGTTGGCAGCCTCTCAGCTCCGCGCGCGCGATGCCGGTGCTGCTCTGCAGGTTGCTCGTGAAAGTCTGCCGGTACGCGTACCAGAGAGCCGTCGCGACGCAAAACACCCCGCACAGCCAGAGCTGCACGCGAACCAGCGTCCAACAGATTGGAGTCATCATGGCCCTGTGGGGCCCTTTTGGCCCCTTGGGCTTCCTACACCTCCGGCTTGAGCAGAGCTGCTTTGGGTCAAGCCAAGCCAAGATCCGAAGAACCTTGGAAAGAGGGTCTGCTGTTTTAAGGCCACGGGGTCCCCCCACAAGGAAACATAAAGCAGAACTCCTTCAATTCTAGAAGCTTCCATACTCATCTCCCCCCGCTTTTTTTGCAGATTGCAAATGGAGCGCGCCAGCCCAAGTGCCTTGGCATCGGCCCTCGGGTTGGGGGTTCCATGGCGTCCCCTAAGATCCCCCAAAGCCTATACCGGCTTGGGCTTGGGACCTACGTTCAGGCAGGGTATGTTACCCATGCAGCGGGTGTAGAGACTCTGTACAGGTGGACAGGAGACCTTGTCGTGTGGGTTCCGTTGCCCCCTATGAAACGGGGGCGTATGTACAGATAGCGCAGCTTGCAGAGCTTGCAGCGTGCCCTTTAGGACACCTTCATGGCTGACATTTCCGCGAGCGCTTTCTCCGTGTCTAGCGGCATCATGTACCACGCCGGGAGCTGTCCTTCCAGGAGTGCATGGTAGCCGCGCACTACATCACTAAGCAGGGGTCAAAACCTCAAAGCCAGCCAATGCGGAGCATACTCCAGTTCAGAAGCAACTCGCCGTGCAGCCTTTATTATGACATTCCTGCTTTGAAAAAAAACAAAGAAGCTCGGACAAACGGCCCGCAACTCTGCCAACCGACAAGCCATGTGTGTAGTAATTAACTTGCTTAGCACATGGAAGCTACGCGCATGGATCGCAGACTCTCAACCCGAGGCAAGCTGAACAACCTGCGACCAGCAGGGTCCGGTGCGGTTGCAGACCGTCTTCTGCGCGCTTGCCCAGCTGCTCTTAATCCGATCCACCTTGGACACTGCCGGCGGGCAGCTCATTGAGGTTTTGGGAACATTAAACGTGTCCAAGATAAGTCGGCATGGTAGAGTTAACCAGATAGCATACAATACGGATCAAAAAAACATACACACATATTGTATATGTATGTAAGATCTACAATCTACAACATAGACGCATTGAATATTTGTAGAATGTATGTGTACATAACTATTTTGGGGGGTTGAAATAGTAGGATCCCCTTCTTAGAAGGACCTCAAGAAGGTACCCCTAATTTCGGAAACCCCCCTTTATATAGATAGCGTACAGGATTGAATATGCATAAAGGCAATCCTCTACAGCATGTAAGCCGAAGTTCCGTGGATTCCATGAGGCCCAGATCTGGCGATGAAAGTCCAGACACAGCGAAGCGGTGGTAAAGCATCCTGCAGTGCCGTTCTACTTGCAGGGCTTAAGACCGATGATTTCTAACTTGTAAGGGCTTCTGGGGAATCACGCCCATAGGGTTTGAAGGTGGGTGCTCAGAACCTTCCTGCCGAGCTCGCACATGAGTTTTTGACGGTCCTCAAACCGCCCATGGCATCGCGAACCTGCTCCAGTGTCTGAGCAGCCAAAGCAGGAGACTCGCAGCCTCGCAGACGCTCAGTTGAGGAATGTGACAGCTGGGGGACTCATCATTGGTTGGGAAGGACGCCAGAATGATTAGAAAGACCCGTGACTACCAGGTGACTAAGCGCTAGGTTTAGAAGCACTGATGGACCAAGCCCGCTAAGGACAAGGGCTCTGGAACATGGCCCCGCTCCAAGAACACGTAGTAATAAGAAGAAGAAGCAGAATAACAAGAATAAAAACAAGAACAAGAAGGATAATCATAATAAAAGGACCCCCCCCCCCCCCCCCCCCCAACAAAAAAAATAAAAATAAATAAATAAATAGCACTTGACCGAATCCTCATTGCCCTCAAGGGGGGATGGCGGAGACATTGACATTGATCTCTGACAGTGCTGTCTCAGAAGTTCATGTGGATAATCGACATCTTGCCCCTCTCTTTACCAACAAAACCCTCTCCCCCAAGCCCTGAAGTAAAGTAGAAGACCCTAAACCCTAAACCCGCCCAGCCTTCTTGCTGAAGGAAAGTCACAAAGGCCTCTCCGTCGTCCAGGTGCGACGCCAGCTCGCCTCGCATTCTGAGATCGTTTGGCGTTCTTGGGCGGGATAAATCCGACCCTTTTCGGGGGTTTGGGGTTTAGGGTTTACGGTTTAGGGATTTAGGGGTTAAATAGGGGGAAAATAGGAAAGCATCACCTTATCTAGGCTCCCAGTGTAGTGCTCTGGAGAGTCGACGAGTAGACCAGGTGGTGACAATTTTCAGCAGACATGTCGGAAGGCCCGGCCACAAAGACTCACTGGGCTTAGGGTTTAGGGTTTAGGGTTTAGGGTCACTAAGCCCAAAAAATCGTATTGTGCAGCTCGCTTGCCCATCAGATTGGAGCATAGCCGCCAAGCCTTCTTGAGCGCCCTGGCAAGTTGTGGGTGACAGGATACACTTAAGGACAGCAGATCGGAGAAAAGGAGCGAGTGCGGGTTCTGAAATTCTGTTCAATTGCGAGGAGCTTCCTTCCAAAATGGCATAGCCGTTAAGTGTCGGGGTAGAAATGGCACAGACGAAAGAGAGCCTTGCTCAACTGCACCAAGGGCATCAAAGCCATCAGAAGCCTAGCTAGGAAAGACATACACATGTCCCGCACCCTCAAAACAATCCTTGAAGACTTGCACCAACAAACATGCACGCTCAGCACGACAGAGGTTCAACACGGTCCCCTTGCTGTCATCGCCCATTGCAGTGGTCGCCTATGGGAGACGTCGGTGACCGCCATGGTCTGCTTGTAGATGGACAGGAGACTCCCGAAGTCCATGGAACCTTGAGATGCATTCGAGCCCCAGAAGAGGGGGAAACGGCAATCGCAAGCCGCTCTGCTCTTAAAGTGACGATGTTCTACTTCTAGTTTTTGGGTCAAAAACACTGTTTCGGGGTCTGCCCTGCCGTTTGCTCTGAGTTCTGCATGCTGCCGCGCTTCCCGTTCCTGCTTCTACTTCCGGGGCGCCTACTCTACCAGGCCGTTGCAAGGGGCCAATGCGTGGCGAGCATCCCTCAAAAGAAAGAGGCCGAGTCGCACTGCTCGTAGCGCGCCATCGCCTGGGATCCCGACTCGAAGCCTCGCACGTCGCACGAAGGGTCGTGGGTCACAGAAACATCACGCAACATAAGTGTGCAAGGACCTTTCCTGGGCGTTCTGCTCTCATGGTTGCAGTGGAGAATGGAGTTTCCAGGTTGGCCATTGAAGCTGAAAGTAGAGCATGAAACATGAGATCTCCTTCCATGTCAGTTTTTTGGCTAAATATGGCCAAGTCCCAAGCTTAACTTGGCCAGGCTGCTCTTGATCTCATTCTCGGCCTCATCGACATATGCATCCACGGCCCCACGGATCTTCCACCAAATGCCTGTTGCGAGACGGGCGGGAGCTCTTGATTTGCGGTTTATTTAATTGTCCGGCCCGGGTGAACTGGCATTTCGTGGCTATGTTTCAGCGAGAAACCATGGGCTACACGAGAATAAACGTAGAAGCTCTGGAATCGGATCCCCCCCCCGCCCGCCTCCTACAAACACCCCCCTTTCTGCAAGTGCCCTCAATTGCAGCCCTAGACCCTAAACCCTAAACCAACAACCCTAAACCCTAAAGCGTTGCAGCGGAGCCCCATTCGCGCCGCCTGACGGGGGCTGGATGATTCTGAGCTCCGGACGATCCAGGTCCAGAACCATCGCGTGCCGCTCAGATGTGGACATCCCCGCCCTGCAAAGTTGCAACGATCCCTATAAACGCTAAACGCCAAAGCCCCAACCTCCCATGCCCTACATGTCGCCCCGAGCGCGTGTGCGCGTGCAGCAGACGACCGCAGACGCACCACTGGAGTTCCTAAAATTCCTGACAGAAGCGCCGATGCCGGCCGAGTCAAAATGCGGCGACGCCGACGTATCTTCTTCGTGGCGTGCTGGGCTAGGAAAGACCACGGCCTTTACTAAACAATGCTGTCCCAACGCTGTGGGCATTTCCTCCTGGAGGACTCAAGCCTGTAGACCTGAAGAGGGCCTAGGCAGCCACGTGAACCAAACTCCTTGGGCATATGCCCGAACCTGAACAGCCGAGAACACAAGAACCCAAGAACAGGTTCGACACCACAAAGCTAGTTCCGGCTATCCCGCAGCCCCATCAGTCCCATCAGCTCAAAACAATTCGCAGCACCCGCCTCTGCCGAGCTGCATGGAGAGTACGGTTCCCGTTCCTGATATCAAGTATGATGTTTCAAAACAAGCTTGCCAGGCCTCGAGTTGAAACTGCCACAGAAGTTGAGAAGGTGCAAAGAAAGTTTGGCCTTCGGATCTTACGGGTGTCTTTAGCTGTTCATGGTTGTGCTAGCGCTGGCAGCTGTGCGAATAGATGCCTTCTGCGCGCGCTGCCTCACTGAGCCTGACTGCTCGTGAGGCTGCACCAATTCCATGACGAGCAAACAGCCGAAGCACCTATGTCATGGCTGCCATTCGAGGGGTTCCTGCGCATCCAAACAAAATGTGGTTTTGCTTCACTTTGCACAGCACGTCAGGCGCATCTGCTGGTGAACAGTCGAGCACCGGCTATTCACTCACATGGCTTGTCGGGACCCTTATCACACTTACTGACAACAACTACGACGACTCCTCCTACTACTGCTGCTGCTACCACTACTACCACCACCACCACCACTAACTGCTCCTACAACTACTTCTTCCAGTAAACTCCATCATTATCATCTCTTGCCACATCACTGTCGAAGCTGCTTAGGCTTCAGCAGCGGCAGCAGCGTCTGCTTCACGCCTGGGCCAACATGACCACGCCGGCAACTGCCATGAGAGCCCCTGTCGCCGACCGTGCCGTGACTGCTTCTCCTTTCCTTAGCTGTTCTGGGAACCCTGACAACCTAATTCTGGCCAGCTGCTTCTCAGGAATACATCAAGATGAAAAGAGTTTCAAAGTACATCATGGCTTCATCAGGTAGACTAGAGGAATTGCATAGATGGGTCCGAAACTTGCGAGGGTAATTGCGAAGGCCAGCGGAATCTGAAACAGGGCGTAGTTGTAGAGGACAGGATTGCAGCACGTCACCAGGAGCACGCCCATGGTCACCAGCAACCACTCGCGCCGTGTCATACCGAGTAAAGATGCTGGTACCAGCCCTTCCTTCTTTCCAGGTTCCAAGAGTGGTTTCGTTTCATCGTATAGCAGAAAAGCATCCTCCAAAGACTCCTGCTTTGATATCATTCCCGGCACCTTCATGACCAAGTAGACTGCTAGCAGAATGACTGCGGCGGCACCGAAACGAATCACAGTGATGTCCAAGGCATCCAAGGGAGGACCACCCCACTTCTTTGTGAGAAAGGCTCCCATGGCATCAAAGAACACATTCACAAATGCAAGCATGTAGCCGGAGAACAGCACATCCCGATCTGGTACAGCACTTCTGTCGGTGCCATCTTCGTTGTCTGCTTCTTTCTCCAGCGCGCAGAGACAAACTCCAACGACTGTTGTTAGCATGCCCGCATATCCGAGACTCGCGATACCTTGCATTGTTCCAAGAGAACTGTGCACAGGGGCCACATTGTCGAAAACTGGAAACAGTATGACAACCACTAGCAGCCATGGAAATCGAACAGCAATGACATTACCAAAGGTAATATAGTCATCGTTATGGAAAATTCGAACAGTGCCCCAAGGTACGCTCATCCAAAAAGATCCGTCCAAGCACGGCCTCACCAAGAATCCCGATTCGGGGACGAGGGTTAGGCTATTTTTGCTGAGAAGCTTCCGAACTTCCATTTAAACCCCCACGCGACACCTGTAAAAACCCACCCGAAAGACAGTCAATATCAAGCGCAAGCCCTAACCCAAAATCTTGTACTGACCAAGCGCAAGTTGCACCAATGAATGGTGCCAAGCAATCCACTACAATGACCCGTCGTGCGCCGATGCCTGCGTGCGAACTGTCTCTGGTATTGTATGATGTAATACCCTCTTGGATGTCTACTTGTCGTTTCCCTTTCTATGTAGATACATGCAAGAAAGGTAGGCCACGTCAACGAAAACAACTATCTATGTACGTATGTCCGCCGACCCCAGCTTTGAGCGGGGGAGGCGCTAGTGAAGACTCCATGGCGTCGGCGTAACCCCGCACCTTAAGCTGATTTTAGAAGGCCCCAGTCCGTGCCCCGCCCTTCCCGCCCCTAACCCTCCCACCACCAACCACCCTTCCCAACCATTCCACTCCATCCTCCTCCCCTACCCCTTCCTCAGTCGATCAGATGACTGACTTTCCCCACCCCCCACCCCACCCCCCCCCCACCCCTCCCCCCCCCGACTGGCTTTCAAGACTGACTTTGAAGGCCCCTCTGCTCCCCCACCCCCCTTCCCTCCCCCCCCCCCCCCCCCCCACCCCCCACCCCCTTCTCACCACCCCACCCCCCCCCACCCCCCCCCCCCACCCACCCCCCACCCGCCCGCCCCCCCCCCCCACCCCCCCCCCCCCCTAGATGATTAAAGACTGACTTTAAAGGGCTCCAGTGCATGCCCGCTCCGCTTGCTCCGCCCGCTCCGCTCCCCCACCAGCAGTCTTTAATTTCAAGGTTTCCTGCCCCTGCACTCTTTGCTATCGGACCCAAGCCCCAGCCATCTCCAGCAGTCTTTAGTTTCAAGGTTTCCTCCCCCTGCACTCTTAGCACCAGGCCCCAGCCGTCTCCAATAGTCTTTAGTTTCAAGGTTTCCTGCCCCTGCACTCTTGGCTATCGGGCACCAGGCCCCAGCCGTCTTTAGTTTCAAGGTTTACTCCCCCTACAATCTTTGCTATCGGGCACCAACCCCTGCACTCTTAGCTATCGGACCCAGGCCCCAGCCATCTCCAGCAGTCTTAGAATTTCCTCCCCTCCCCCCCCCCCCCCCCACCCCCCCACTGCGCCACCACCCCCACCCTGCCACCCACCCCCCCCCCCCCCTAGATGACTGACTTTAAAGACTGACTTTAAAGACTGACTTTAAAGGGCTCCAGTCCATGCCCGCCCCTCCGCTTGCTCCGCCCGCTCCGCTACATGAACTGACTTTAAAGACTGACTTTAAAGAACTCCCCCACTCCGCCCGCACCCCCCCCCCCCACCCACCCCCCCCCCCCCCACCCCCAACCGACTCCAAAGACGGACTTGCCCCCCCCCCCCCCCCCCCCCCCCCCCCCCCCCCCCCCCCCCTAGATGACTGACTTTAAAGACTGACTTTAAAGGGCTCCAGTGGACAAGACCCGGAAGTGTATGCACACCACGGTCCAGCATCTACTGGAACCGGTATATAAGTGTTCTGTATATGTCTATATGCTTAAGCCACGGTCCGGAGCTTTCACCGAACCCGGAAGTGTATGCACACCACGGTCCAGCATGCACCGGACCCGGTATATTAGTGTTCTGTGTAATTATGTATAAACCACGGTCCGGAGCTTTCATCGAACCCGGAAGTGTAGGCACACCACGGTCCAGCATATACCGGACCCGGTATATATAAGTGCATATACCCCCCCCCCCTGCCCCGGTCGCGGATGGCCTCTCAGCACACTACCGACTAAGCCCTCCTAATGCCCTTGAAACCCTGAACGCTCAACCCTAAGCCCTAAACCCTAAGCCCTAAACCCTAGGCCCTAAACCCGAAACCCTAAACCCTAAACCGTAGACCGCTCACTCTCCTCCTGCCTCTGCGAATTCGTCGAAAGATGGCCTGCCATCCTTGTTCTTGTCCGGTTTGCGCGGAGCATCAGGTTGAGGGGTCGGCGGCACTGGCGGTAGCCATTAAATCGGGCAGCGCGAGGTCCCCAAAGGACCGAGCAAATGCGGACCTTTTAGCCCGGGTCGTCCCGGGAATAGCCTTGCTGGCCTCTGGCCTTCTGCGAAGCAGAATTAGGCCGGACGCCAGTGCCGCCGACCCCCGCGTGCCGCCGGTGAACGGTTTTTTTTTCGTGGTTTTTTGCGTCGCCACGGAGGCCCCCAGAGGGCGCGCATCATGAGCATCAGCGGGTCCAGCCCGGGACCCCCAGGCGCGCATCAGGAGCATCAGCGGCTCCCGGGGCGGGACCCCGGGGGCGCATCAGGAGCATGATGCCCCCCAAAGGGCGGGCATAAGCGACGTGTCTAAGCCCGGGGCTAGGAAAAAGGGAGTTTAGGGGCCTTTATAAAGTGCTTAGAAACGTTAAGGGAGTCTAGGAGCCTCAAACGCTTAGAGATTTGAAGGGAGTTTAGGGGCCTGAAAATGCTTAGAAACTTAACGCCTAGAGATTTTAAGGGAGTTTAGGGGCCTCAACATGCTTAGAAACTGCTCGCCCCGGGCTTCTGCGTGCGCTGCCCGCCCATGGGCGCAGACCCTTAAAAATATACATAAATATATATACATATGCAACAGTATCTTGCTTTCGGGTTGTGGAAGTGGGGCAAGGAAAACCAAAAAACAACAAAATGCGGGGACAAAAGAGCTCCTGAAGCCGGACCCAGCTGCGCTGGAGAGCCATCAACCAAGTAAGGTCCCCCACGACAATGCCAATCCTTTTTTGCCAAAGCTGAGGGTTTTTAATCGCCTGTTCTCCCTTATACTCACAGTCCTTCATAGGGACTATCATGGGGAGGTACTATATAGTCCCTTTTAAGAATTGTTGGTATCAGGGTGAACATCCCAAGCTCACAGCGTTGGGACAAGAGGTTGCCTCGAGGGAATCCCCCTTTTAGTGCTTCCCAACCCTGTGCCAAAGGCTCGCAATCGTAGCAATCGGCTGCTTGTTGCAAGAAAGGGGTCAGCGCATGATGGCTCGGCTTGACTAAGAAGTCAAACTGCAGCTTGCCTACAAATCTACAGTCCTTTCACGTACGTCGCACGCAGAACTCCCATGCGGGGCACGAGTTGTGTTTCACGTCTGCGTGGCCGTTCCATCTCACAAGAAAGTTTGTAGTCATAGCTCGGCCATGCTCGGCCGCCATTGTCTCGGCTTCCAGAAACATCTCCCCAACTTATGCTCTGCCCAGTCCAAAACAGTAAAAAAAGGTGCGAAAAAGCGGAAGGCAGGGCTTAGTGTCTAAAGCTTAGTCACGCCCCGTTCTCAAGCTATCCCCAGCTCCGCCAAGTGTCAATGAAGAGACCACAAGCATGTTCAGGGCCATGCCACTTGCCTTGGTGCAAATACCAAAACTCAAGCTGAAGCAGTACTGACAGTAGCAGTAGCATCAGTAGCAGCAGCAGCAGGAGCAGGAGGAGGAGGGGAGGAGGAGTAGTAGTGGCAGTAGCAGTAGCAGTAATTAGTGGTGGTAATGGTAGTGCTGGTGGTAGTGGTCGTGTAAAGCGACTGATAATACCACTAGCAATAGCAGGGCGAGAAGCAGCAGCAGTGCGACCACTACTGCGATAGTTTTCTGCTAGTACCGTTGGTACTCCTACGACAGACGACGACGACGACAAATGCTCCTCTACGATTCCTACAACTGCTAGTGCTAGGACTGCCAGTTATACTATAGCACTTCGTGCAAATCTCGCCTCTGCCAGATGCGCCAGGCCGGTGCTGACGGCGATGGTCCCGGCACAAAGAAGAGAAGCAAGGCTACCTCAAGCAGACTCCGCCCTTTCATGTTAGAGCTATGATGCGGAGCACAAGTATATTTACTTGCTGCGTATGCGCAAAGAAGATATACACAAGAACATCGGTAGAAACATCCGCAACACGGAATCAATGGAGCGCTAAATGGATCCAAAAGGAAGCCAAAGCCCCGAAACTTGAAACCTGACACCAAACCCCCCCAATAAGGAAAACCTGGCAGAAGAACACCCCCCCCCCCCCATATGCTGCTAAACTCTACACCCCAAGTCTCCAACGCCCCAATTGCACTCCCTCCCAAAGCCCTCGGTTGCGAGGGTTGAATGAAGAACCACGGCAGCGTCCATCACACGCCAACAGAAAACAACTCTTCGCGACAAAGAACATTTGAAGATGTTGAGCTCGAGGGCGCTGCCTGCCAAGAGGGATGAGGGTTTAGGGTTTAGGGATTTAAGATTTTTTGGGTTTCGACTTAGAGTCTAGGTTCGAGTGCTACTCTGCTCTGATTGCCAGAACTTCCCGCACATCCTATCGCGTCCCCGCAAGCCTTGCACAACCTCTTGCGTAATCTCAACCGAGAATGCCTGGATCTACTTTTTGCAGTTAAGGAGGAGGCCCCTATACTGAACCCAAGCCCAAGACCCCAGAAAGACCCTAAACGAACTCCTGCCTTTCCAATGCTGCTCCCAAAAGATGAAGCCCACCACCATGAAGATCGGCGCTGCCAAGGCTGCGGCGACGCCATCGCTGGTGGCCATCGGATGCTTCCGGACTTCCGTAGGGTTTAGACAGCACTTTGTTCCCTTGGTACACTTCTCGACTTGTGCCGAGTTCTGGGGAACAGAGGCTGGGGGTGTGGCATCTGTGTCATTTAAGGGAAAGACAACGCACACACCGAAAGGCTGCGGCCTGTCCATGCAGAGGGTTTCTTTGGGGTGTTGGGGTTAGGAGACTTCGGGGCTCAAAGGATGTTTCGGGCTTCGGGTTTAGGGGGGTCTGCGTTCGCTTGCCGCCCGCCTAGCTGACCACTTTGGGGAGGTTTTAGAGGTTGGTTCAGCGATGGGGGTGTCAGAAGGTGTCAGATGTTTGGGGGGGGGGGGACACGGGGCGGGGAGGGGGGGGGCTTGCACTTGCACATTAGGGGATCGGCGACAAGCATATTTGTATAGACACCACAATATAAGCGTGAACTTCTTAACATGCTTTTCGTACTACTGTAGCTGAAGCTTTGATTCAACCAACCCAAGTGTATATGTGTAGATATATGGGTGTTTACGATTTAAGAACCCCAAATAGAGACCCCACATAGTAAGATTCTCTTAGAAGAAGGACCCTTAGTCTTGGAAACCTCATTTTTGTGTGCGTGCAAAACACTGATGCAGCCCAACATCCGTGTAGACTCCGGAACCTCCATATCCCCTAAACCCTAAACCCCAAACCCTATCCCCATGTGCTCCAACCCAAGGCCTATTCCGTCCAAGCTGCTCGCGGTAGATTCCCAAGGTAGCGCGTTGCAGCTTGAGCTGTTGCTGCCTGGCATCAGGATTTCCTTCAATTTCCCGCAAAGACTCCCTTCAAACTTCAATCGAGAGCCTGGTAATGTTGATGAACAAGTGCCCTAGTTCAGTGGTCATATGCCTCCTGAGACCCCCGCCTGGATTTAATAGTGGGGGCGGGCTCGGACTGTGTCGCTCTTTGCCGCCGGGCACAGACTCTCTGAAGGAACTTGGAAGGTGCTTATAAGGGATACATGATCCTTCTCCCCCTTCTCTCTCCCTCCTGATAAAGACACGCCACACCTAGCTATAGGGATAACAAAAACTTCTTATGATAAACATCTGCCGCGTTGCATCTGACGAGCGCCCTGCGCGACAGACCTTGCACGAGACGCAGATGCTCGTGTTCTCTGCATGTGCAACATTCGGGCCTGATGTCGACTTTCTGGGATTTTAAGGGCTTTCATGCAGCATGTAGAAGACGAAAAGGAGGATGACAGCAAACCATCGAAAGCATCTGCAAGTGGTCGACTAAGCAAAGGCTGGCATGCCACAGCTGATAGGTTCCTGCCCCTCCACTCAACCAAGCCGCATTGCAATGTGATCCACCTTGCTGCGGTGATCCGAGGCACTCCTGGGTGAAGAAGGGATAAGTCTGTGGAGCTTATAGGCGTCCAGCTTTCACTCAGCAGCTTTGCTTCCACGGCTTTTCCACGCCTCTTTCATTCCAACTGGGTCTTCTGGGTCTTTCTCTCTCTCTCTCTCTCTCTGCCGTGCCATCCTCTAGGGTCTTGCTACGCAAGGGCACGACATGGTCTAGAATTTTGCGCGACCGTCCGGCTGATTCAGTTTGACTACAAGTTGGGCACCTGCACTTACCGTCCATTTGGGAGCTCTGGAGATTCTTAACGGGAGTCAGCGAGGTGTCCATATCGCACTTCGGCACATCTGCCCTCCCATTTCCCCTGCTTCCCCGGTGACGAGAGCGGCCCAAGGACAGGCGAGAACCCTAAAAAAATCCGTACGCTGGTAGAAGCTGTGGATGCTGAGCACAGCAAACCGCTTGGAACTGAGCGGCTTCCTCGGAACAGGAACTTGAACAATACGGATCGCATAAACTCCATAAACTTGGGACAAAGGGGCCGAAGCTTGGATTTCAGAGACACCAGGCTGTCGAAGGCTGCAAAGACTTGCTCAGTGCTGTTGCCATCCTGGAGGATGGACTTACCTCAAGGAAACAAGCGTGACGTATTGACCCCCAGCGCAGTGGGAGACAGATAGATATATGTATATATATGTGTGTGTATACACATATATATATATATATACATATATATTTATTTATGTATGTATTTATGTGTGTGTTTTTGTCAGTAGCTCTGTCTCAGGTCCCTGCTGTCACTGTTGAACTTGTCCAGAGCGTCGCTGGCGGCCAAGAGTGAGGCGCGGCCAAAGGACGCGCCGTCGACGTAGCCGCGGAGCCTGGGACTGGACATGTTTGCTCGCTGTGAGTGTACGATTGAGGGTCTCGAAGGTTTGGGTCGGTTCAGGGAAAGAGAGGAAGGAGCCTTTTGAAGCCGTTCCTCCCTTTGCCTAGCCTTTTTGCGTGGCTGGCGTGGAAGGTATCACCTGTGTTGGCGCAATGGAGGTTCCTACGTACAGCACACCAAAGATCGCAACATAAGAGCATGGCCCTTTGCAAGAAGAGGCAATAGGCCAGCGCAGAACTTCAGGCCACCCCGAACACATTCTATATCCTTGGCGGTCCCTTGGCTGCCCCCAAGAGACTCTGACTGCATCTTTTGCGTCTGTTGCCTTGGCTCTCCACAGGAAAAGGTGCCAATTTGGCAAGTTTGTCACTGAGCGGTTTGAAGCAATCAGATCAATTCCACACAGGAAGCTGCCTCAATGTCCTCGACGCCTAAGGGCCTAGCAAGGCTTTGTTTCGGAAGCGTGGGGTGCAGTGGCAAACGCTTCATGTTCCCGGATGTGACCGAGTCACTTGATTGCCAAGAAAAGCTCCTTCTTGTCTCCACCTTCCATGTGTTGTGAACTCTTCAATTGAACTGCTGGGAGGTTCACAAGTCTCACACCCAAGCCCCCAAGGCCCCGGTCTCGGGCGAAAAGAACACCCTGATGAAATCCAAATCCTGTCCTCCTGCCCTCGGACATCGATGCTTTGGTGTTGGCAAGACTGTTTGCTTCAGCCCCGCATTCCTTTTCTGTGCAGCCTGCTCGATCGCCCCCCCCGAAAGATCGAACCAAGCTCGACCCGCTTTGGACACAAGACGCTGATCGACAAAGCCCTTTCCAAGATTAAGAGCTCGTCATCTGCACGTTGGCGCAGGCTACAAGTCGTGTCCACCCGGTGTCTGCAGATATGGTAAGGAAAGTAGGCTTCGCATAAGACACACACACACATACAGTTGGGGCACAGTTTCTTCGCCGCCTGCCATGAGCTCTTTGATGTTGGTGAACTGTTTGTTGTTCTCCTCAGTTGTACTGCGCTTGCACACCGACTGGCGCAAAGAGCCCCCCGGAGTCCAATTGACTCCTGAAACTGCGCCCAAACGTCCCCAACTTGAACCCTCTCAATGATTGAACCCCAAGCCTCTGAACTCTGAACCTTGTTTATAACAACAGCCCCACTATGGAGACTCCTAGAAGAACTTTGTGAAATACATTGAAATACCATCTAAGCTCCTCATGGTAGCCCACTCCTAGTGAGCCCTGGCAATGGCACGTCCAGGCGCAATGTTCTGCACCACGGTTTGGTGGTCAATCTTCTCCTCAAAGATTGCACTTGGGGGCCATAGAATGAGAGAGGGGGGGGGGGGGGGGTGGTCCCCCAACTTTCCGAGCTTAAGGCTTGTCGTCTGCTTTGCAAAAGTACCGCATCATGTCTCACACTCTCACACTTTTCCCTTAAGAGCTTACGTCACCCTTCGAGGCACCCATTGAAGCTCAAAGCAGCGCGAAACTTTCTCAAGCAGCCCTTTCAAGCAGCCAAGCAAAGCTTGATCCCAAGTCGGGGTGAGCCGCCGCCAACCACGAAACATCAAGCTGCTGGGTTTTGACGATCCAGTCCTTGGGATGGTATTTGAATGCTGTTTGGGGGTAGACCGGGGTGAGTCTGAAGAGCCCGAAACCCGAAAACCAAATTGGACCGCGCTCCGCGCAGTGCAAAACAATGGCAGAGAATCCTGATCCGGTTTGGCCAAGAGGCAGCTAGCTTCGCCGTGTTGCCATTTGTGATGTCCTGGAAGGCATCGTGGGGCATTCAAGGTCTAGGGAGGCAAGGAGTCCAGGACGCGCTTCTCCCAAGTGACTTGAGCTATCTGAGCCAACAAGCCCAAGAATATCGGCACGCAAGCAAGCGGTGCCCCATTGCCTGTTTGTAGTTACTGCATGAAAGTATGCTGACCTCTCACTGAGGCCGCCTGCATCAGGACTCGTCAACCTCTCCGTGACCCTCCTGTCTGCGCATCCCCATGAATCAAATCGTCTCCGAAGCCTTCACGAATGTTACAAAATGTTACAAACCCTCCCGCAACCTACACAGCCGTGGCAGGCTGGGGCTCAGGCTGTTGCGCGCTTGAGGTTGCGCAGGATCGTGCGGTCTCCTGGAAGGCACGCGCGCGCGCGCGCGTGCCTTTGTTTGTGTGTGTGTGTGTGTGTGTGTGTCTGTGTGTGTGTGTGTGTGTGTCTGTGTGTGTGTGTGTGTGTGTGTGTGTGTGTGTGTGTGTGTGTGTGGGTGGGTGTGTGTGTGTGTGTGTGTGTGTGTGTGTGTGTGTGTGTGTGTGTGTGTGTGTGTGTGTGTGTGTGTGTGTGTGTGTGTGTGTGTGTGTGTGTGTGTGTGTGTGTGTGTGTGTGTGTGTGTGTGTGTGTGTGTGTGTCTGTGTCTGTGTCTGTGTCTGTGTCTGTGTCTGTGTGTGTGTCTGTGTCTGTGTCTGTGTCTGTGTCTGTGTCTGTGTCTGTGTGTGTGTCTGTGTCTGTGTCTGTGTCTGTGTCTGTGTCTGTGTCCGTGTCCGTGTCCGTGTCCGTGTCCGTGTCCGTGTCCGTGTCCGTGTCCGTGTCCGTGTCCGTGTCCGTGTCCGTGTCCGTGTCCGTGTCCGTGTCCGTGTCCGTGTCCGTGTCCGTGTCCGTGTCCGTGTCCGTGTCCGTGTCCGTGTCGGTGTCCGTGTCCGTGTCCGTGTCGGTGTCTGTGTCTGTGTCTGTGTCTGTGTCTGTGTCTGTGTCTGTGTCTGTGTCTGTGTCTGTGTCTGTGTCTGTATCTGTGTCTGTGTCTGTGTCTGTGTCTGTGTCTGTGTCTGTGTCTGTGTCTGTGTGTGTGTGTGTGTGTGTCTCTGTGTGTCTCTGCGTGTCTCTGTGCGTCTCTGTGCGTCTCTGTGTGTCTCTGTGTGTCTCTGCGTGTCTCTGTGCGTCTCTGTGCGTCTCTGTGAGTCTCTGTGTGTCTCTGTGTGTCTCTGCGTGTCTCTGCGTGTCTCTTCGCGTCTCTGTATCTCTGCGTGTCTGTGTGTGCGGGACCACCCCAGGCACAAGATCACCAGAGCAAACACGCAGGCCGAGTAAGTGCGCAAAACGATCGACCCTTCCAAACTTCCAATGTTGTGGTTTTCATGTGTCTTACACAGAACACAAACTCAGGTGCTGCGATGGCGACCCTGCGGGCGAAAGTAAGACTTTCATTTGGGCCGGACCACGTTGTACCTGGACTCCAAGCATTGCTGGGCCTACATATAGAGTTCAGAGAGTTCCAATGTGAATTACATCTTGATCCCAAAAGACAAAGGCGAAACATCCCGCAAGAAGCGATGTTGCTGCCTCGGACCACTGCATCACGGACGCAGTGCAAGTCGCCTTCGCAAGTCTTACGGCTTTACAAAATTTGGGCGTGCTTGTAGAACCGGTGCTGATCGACACCCTTCTGCCCTCTGCTACCAGGAGCGTCCCCATTCAACTTGATTCTAAGCTCCGATTCTCCAAGCCCTGGGTGGGCGAACTTAGCCATTCTGCCCTTTGGTTGGCATTCTCCATGGCGAGTCTGTTTATTAAGATTATTAAGCTTCACAAACCCCACACTGTAAGGCTAAAGAGGCCCCCCAAGCGGCAGAAGAGGCGTGCGAAGTTGGCTTGGGTCGCTGAGCAGTCCTGTGCTGCAGCCTGGGCGCCAATGTGCACGTCTCATAAAAAGAGCACTAAAGTCACTAAATAGAGCATCAAGAATCAGGCAAGATTGGCAGACAAGTACATCTGATATCCCGCCTCCTACGGTCCGGTGCAAGCTTAAGCGTTCGCATCCTGCAGTCTTTACACCCCTTCTACTCGAACCCAAAGAAGTCAACGCCTCCTTCTTGCTTAAGCTGGCAGAGGGATACTGAGTTGCTGGGCCACACATCCCCCTGAAGAGCCCTAGATTTGGCCACCGCAGCATTGCTGATGGTCCTCTCCAGGGCGTAGGTTGACACTTCCTGCGAAGACTTGAGATGGACATCAGAAGCGCACACACGCACACACACAAAACAGACTAAAACTAAAACTAAGACCAAAACATAAAGCCTAAAACCAAAAACTAAAACCACAACACAGCACAACACAGCACAGCACAGCCCAGCCCAGCCCAACACACACACACACACAAACAAACAACACATTTGACTTCTGGGCATGCGCTTGCGTACATCCTTTGGGCGCCGGGTTTTTGCCCAGACGCAGTTTGTCCCTGCACCTTCTGCCATATGCAACCGTGAGTGCTGTAGAAGGAGATACGACGAACAGAATTGACGGCGCTTTGTGTTTTAGCCCCTGGAATTTTTGCAGAGGCAACCTCTTCCGGTAGAGTGGGTTGCAGCGAGCACTATCATTACTGAGCTGATTCCAAATAAATTCCTTTCAAGTGCACCAGGGTTATGTTTGCAGCCCGATCTATGTGAAGCCTGAGTCGACGTCTGTTGCAGAATAGAATGTCCAGCTACCAATGCTAGAACTCTCCTTCCGACTTTCGACGTTTGAACGCGTTCTCTTCTGCTTTCTCTGCATTCATGGGCAATTTACGGTGCTGTGGCCCCGACGGCAAGTCGGCCTTTTTCAGGATTCACGACACTCATGTTCTTTTGCCCAGAGCTCTTGACCGAACTCCAGCTTTACATTTTCTAGCCGACGGCAGTACAAGTTCCTTGAGTGCTCTAGCCAACACCAGGTGATGCAAAACATCTGAGTCTGTAGAATGCCATGTCTCAGTTTCCCAACACTTAGAATTCCATGAACTACTTTTGGGAGAACAACATGAATGCCGGACCCTTTCTGCACTGATGTTACGGACCATGCCATTGCCTGTAACAGCCCCACCACATCTTTGAAATTCCGACTTCAGGTTTGCCTCCTAAGAGGTTCTCGCCCTAAACCCTACGCTGCCCTACACTCTCGCGATGCAGCGATAACGGAGTGCTGAGGGCTCAAGTGTGCAGATGAGCCTAGACCAAGACAAGCCAAAGGCAGCCAGGCTGTCATGCACGAACTGGATGGCCGTGTGCGTGACTTGGACGATGCCCTTGCAGATGTCGGGCAACTGTGTACCTGAACAGACTTGGCATCATCCGGAAGATAGGACCGCTAGGACTGGTATGTGCCGAGGGCCTGTCTATATACCTGGGCCTTGGAGAGGTTGAGGGGCTCCTATGCAATGCGTGGAAGTTTAGGGAACCCCTCCAACCCTAAACCCTAAACCCTAAACCCTAAACCCTAAACCCTAAACCCTAGACCCTCCCCCACCCCGGCTGAATTCGGGGGCATCTAAGAGCCCGGCTGGCCCCCTGTCATGATCTCCGGTGCAAAGTTGCACAACCTCAGGGTTTAGGGTTTAGGGTTTAGGGTTTAGGGTTTAGGGTTTAGGGTTTAGGGTTTCAGTGTACACCCCGAGTGTCCGGGTCCCCACTGTGGGATGAACATCCGTGGCGGGTGTTTTTGTTGGGCTCTTGGGGCTTAGGATCGAAGGGTCGTTACATGGTCCCTTAAGTATGGGCACTTGGGTAACTTATGTACCCTTTATATACCCTGCACGGATTAAGGGCCCATAGTCATCTCAGAACCCTTGAAAGGAGGTTAGGGACTGCATTACGGGCCCGTGAAACTACCCTCAAATAGGAGTCTTCACGGCGGTGTTTATATCACCCTCTCCCTTCGTTGGGGCCCATCACGAGTCCCGAGCACTGTTGCCTTTCTAGCCTCTGAATCTCAAGTGTGGCTTCTACGGGCTGGCTCGACCTGAGCATGATCATGCTTTGCAGTCGGGAGTGCGTGCTTTGGATGGTGAATGGGAGGCTGAGACCATTGATGAACGTGTCCAAATGCCGCAGGACCTGCCAAGGAACGTCTCTGAACATGCTTGGCAGAAGGGGGTTTGGTAGAATATTGCATGGTCGGAAGAAAGCATGGCAAATGATAAGCTTCCGCTGGGTCTTTCCTACAAGTAACATACCAGCGCAGCCGCGCCGGCGAGGAGGGCCAGGCGCGACTCTACTCGGGGAGTCGTGAGAACAAGAACCGTTGCATCGATATTGAAGAGATCGTCTAAACCCCCCCCCCCCGGTTTCCCCCCCTTCCCCCCCCCCCCGTTTTTCTCAAAAAAGGACCCGCTGCTCCCTTCACCTCCTGGCCCTTGAAGCTCGTGACGCCGTCTCGGTCGAAGCAGCCTGAGGCTTGCGGATTCGCGCATAGAGAAGCTGGGCCGGTTCAGGGGGCTAGTGAGGGGTTTAGGGTTTAGGGTTTAGGGTTTAGGGTTTAGGGTTTAGGGTTTAGGGTTTAGGGTTTAGGGTTTAGGGTTTAGGGTTTAGGGGGCTAGTGAGGGCACTGTTTTTTGCAACTGGGCTTGAGGATTAGCCAGATTCAACTCCAAGCATCGGCCGTTCGTGTTCACTTAACTCTGTGCTGGTGCATTACTTGGCCAAAGAATGATCCACTGAAGAATTGTCGACGTCTGAATTAAGTCAGACACCCTAAACCCTAAACCCCTAAACCCCTAAACCCCTAAACCCTAAACTCCAGGCGGCTCCCAGTCTGCAAAGGCTCAGCTGAGGGCGGCACCCATCAGCTCGTTCTGGGCACAGCTGTTGCTTTTGCTTCTTTTCTGTGCCAATCTACTGGATTCAGCTCCAAAACCATGTGCTGACACTGCAGCAGCCCTCACCACTGGAAAGGGCTTGCGTCTTCACTTGCAAGAGGTCACTGCCCCCGGCTTTGAGGGGGAAGGGGCTACCGGGCCAGCAAGCCACAACCTCCAAGAAAAATCCCCACCCTTTGAAAAAAGACAAACCCCAGATCATACAAAAGCCGCGCTTTGCGGATGTCCTTGAAGGGGCGTCAGCTCTTCGGGGGTGCGCCGAGGGTCGTAAGGCATCGGTCGCTGGATGGTCTTTCCATCGCCGCCCGCCCACTTGCCTTGGGTAGACTTACTCTGTGTGTGTGTGTGCTTAGGGTGCAGGGTTTAGGGTTTCGGGTACTGGATTGCGTGCTTTCGGTAAAAACCGGCACCTGGGGGAGGGGGGGGGGGGTGGGGCCTTCCTAACCCCGAAACCCTGCTTGATGCCTTGATTTGTCTTCCTCCAAACCCCCCCCCGCCTCCCTCCCCCCAAAAAAGGAAAGTCATACGCGCGCCCGATTAAGAACTCCAACCTCGCAAAAAGAAATTCCCGGCTTTTTCTCCCTCAATGAATGAAGGTGCCCATGCACTGCACGAGTCTTGCGCTCATCGCAGCCATTCGCCACAGACACAACCGAAGCCCCCTGTGAGAAACACGCTTCAGAGCTCAGAGGAAAGGCGCTCCGGATGCCACCATACTGGCCCGCGAGGTCGCAGGGATGCATGGCCTGCAAGGGGGGGGAGGGGGGGGGGGAGGAGGGGAGGGGATGAGAAGCCTTAATTTGGGATGTTGCCCCCTTCTACCAACAGTGCTGAACAGGGCTTCTCTATTTTAGTCCCGATTGAGGACTTTTAGTATAATGGGGGAACATCCCAACCCCAACCCTAAATCCTAAAGTAAAGAGTCTGGAGAGAAGGGGAGAGAAGGGGAGGGGATGCTCGAAGATTTTATGGGCCCTTTTTTCGGGTGCCCCCATACAAAAGGGGATCCCCCCCCCCCCCCCCCCCCAAAAAAAAAGGAGGCATAATTTCGAGAACCTCCCAAAACAAGTATCCGAGACCCGCAGGCTCCGTGAACTCTAGGGTCCGAGCCTAGGGCTCTGAAACTCAGGGGCTTGAAAAAAAGGGTAGCCTCATTCGGTCTCGACTACGCCGACGAGCTTGACAGGATTTTCGAGGCAGCTCTGGGAAGCCATTGAAGCTCTACTATCCGGCTTCGGACTTAAAGCCTCTCACAACTCTCAGACAACTCCAGGAGTCTGGCACACTTCGAGTCAGCGCGCCAACGCAATGCAGGTTTTGGGGGGGCCTTTGGGGGGGGGGGGGGGGACACTGGGTGTGCCGGTCTTCCACATCTCATGTGGCAGTCAACGATGGTGAGTTGCTCTGCCAGCTCTGGGTCTCCTTGTCTCAGTTGCACCCTTTGCTTCTTCGGGTGGCTGAAACGGCTCATGCGGCACATGTTCTTGCTGGTGGCTGCTCGAACCGCCGGAAGAAGATGATGCTAATGTGCGACACGCCTGCGGGAACCTGAAGCAATCTTCTGGCATGTTCGTCGAAACATGCGATCCTCACTCTCAAAAGCTGCGTGTTTGCGGTGCAGACACTGTGAACAGGACTGTAGAGAAGATAGCGGCGCAATGCGGCGCAGATTGCCGTCACCATCCCAGAGCGCGCCCCACGAAATCGCAAGCAAGCACCAGGAAGAAAGCAAAGCCATCCAACCAAAAACATCGAGTCTGAATACTCGACGGTGGAGCTGCCAGGCCCTGAATCCTCCCAATGGAGCTCAGCTCTCAGGACGAAGGGACATGTTTGTGTCCACTCGGGGTTCTATAAGGACAGGCGTTCTTCGCGTTCAGGGCGCGACGATGGGAGCCCAAAACTCCCAGATGCAGACCGAACATACAACAAGGCCCCTACCTTGTATCCCGACGCCGACTCCTCTTCGGTTTCCAGCCTCGGCAGATGCGGTGCGTTGCAGCACAGTTGTTCTGAGCAGGCGAGAATACCCCAAACATGTCCCAAAACCTTGGGACCTCTGCTTACCATCGCATGAGTGTGGCCTGTGCTAAAACAGTCCTTCTGTAGATGTCAGCGTGGGTGCTTCTACCGCGGGCATGTTCCACAAGCCTTCCACCCGAAACACGATCCTGCTGCTATACAAGGGAGAAAAAGAAGCTTCTCTGCGTGGTCCTATGCTGCACTTGTAATAACTGTCACATCTGTCCTGCGGGTTTGCAGCATGTAGCATATGGAGGACCTATTTCTGCAGACGTTTGCCAAGAAGATCTTTGGTGTGCAAGGCACTCTGGGTTTGCTTGGACTGCATAAGCTGCTTCTTGAATGGCACCAACTCGTCCTGGTGGCTCGTTGGCGTTGGCTTCCTCCTCCCCCGCGTCATTCACGGTGGTCTCCTCTGGCATTCTTAGACTGAGGCTTTCCAGTCGAAAGGTATGGGGCTCCTCTCCCACTACAAGCCCGGCTGTGTTGGGGCACAGACTCAAAGGCACAGCCTTCTAACCTTATAAACCCGAAGCCCTTTTTGAGCAACATCTAAACCCTAAACCCTAAACCTAGAGTCGTTCTGTATAAGCTTTCAAACCCTGCTCTCGCGCAGTCCTGGACCTTCTTCCACAGATCTCCGTAGCCGACCTCTGAGCTGCAGACTGCCAGAAACCAACAACTCTCACTCATACATGAGTCTAGAGAACATCATTAGCTTAATGTACATCATTCGCAGAATTAGCATATATATATATATATATCTCTCTCTCTGCACACAGTATACATTGCAGATTCGTATCATGTATCAGGCGCAGCAGATCGACACAGGAGTTAGCTCTAGCCGCTAGCCTCCAAGCACGGATCAATCACGTCACCCGGGCCCCAATCCCAATGACGATGGCTGTCTCCTTAAACTCTGAAGCCCGACATAGCCCTAACCTGCGTGTCAGTCCCGCAGCAATCTGCTCTCACTCCCACTCCCCTCCTTGCCCAAAAAAAGGAAGGAAGTCCACATCTGCAGGAGGAGGGCGGAGGTGTTTTTTTTTTCTTAGGTCTGGCTCTCCCCTTTTTTCCTAGGTCTGGCTCGACACGTGGGTGGTTGAGTGGCTGCAAATACTGTAATTTGCAGTGTTTTACGCGTTTGGAGCTCCTGAATCATTGCAAAAACCGCTGCAACACCCGTAAATCATGGCATTTCTGGGCGGTTGAGGGGCTGCAAATACTGTAATTTGCAGTGTTTTACGCGTTTGGAGCTCCTGAATCATTGCAAAAACCGCAGCAACACCCGTAAATCATGGTATTTCTGGGCGGTTGCGGGGCTGTAAATACCGTAATTTGCAGTGTTTCGCGCGTTTGCAGAATCTGAATCATTGGAAAAACCGCAGCAACACCTCTAAATCATGGTATGTCTGCGTGGTTGCGGGGCTGTAAATACCGTAATTTGCAGTGTTTCGCGTTTGCAGAATCTGAATCATTGCAAAAACCGCAGCAAAACTTGTAAATCATGGTATGTCTGGGCGGTCAAGGGGCTGTAAATACTGTGATTTGGTTTTAAGAAGATGTATATATGGTTTGAAACAAACTTGCACGGCTTAAAAAAAGCGGGGGGGTTGGGGGGGGCGCAGCCCCCCCCCCATTTGCAAACACAATGATCGCATGATGGGAAAAATTTCAAAGACTCATAATGACTCATATGTCATATGATCGAGGCAAGCTTGCACGGATTGAAAAAAGCAGGGGGGAGGGGGGGGTTGGGGGGGTCGCAGCCCCCCCCCCGTTTGCAAACACAATGATAGCCCCCCCCCCTCTTCCATTTGCAAACACAATGCTCGCATGCTGGGTTAAAAAGGATTCATATGCTTTGAAACAAGCTTGCACGGCCTAAAAAAAAGCGGGGGGGTTGGGGGGGGCGCAGCCCCCCCCAGTTGCAAACACAATGATCGCATGATGGGTTTTGAAAAGACTCATACTTTGCTTTGAAGCAAAGTTGCATGGCCTAAAAAAAGCGGGGGGGTTGGGGGGGCGCAGCCCCCCCCCATTTGCAAACACAATGATCGCCTGCTGGTTTTTGAATAAGACTCCTATGGATTGAAACAAGCGTGCACGGCTTAAAAAAAGCGGGGGGGTTGGGGGGGCGCAGCCCCCCCCACTTGCAAACACAATGATCGCATGATGGGAAAAATTTCAAAGACTCATAATGACTCATATGATCGAGGCAAGCTTGCACGGATTGAAAGAAGCGGGGGGGGAGGGGGGGTTGGGGGGGGTCGCAGCCCCCCCATTTGCAAACACAATGATAGCCCCCCCCTCTTCCATTTGCAAACACAATTCTCGCATGCTGGGTTAAGAAGGATTCATATGCTTTGAAACAAGCTTGCACGGCCTAAAAAAAAGCGGGGGGGGGGCGCAGCCCCCCCCAGCTGCAAACACAATGATCGCATGATGGGTTTTGAAAAGACTCATATTTTGCTTTGAAGCAAAGTTGCATGGCCTAAAAAAAGCGGCGGGGTTGGGGGGGCGCAGCCCCCCCCATTTGCAAACACAATGATCGCCTGCTGGGTTTTAAAAAGACTCCTATGGATTGAAACCAAGCGTGCACGGCATACAAAAAAGCGCAGCCCCCCCCCCCACTTGCAAACACAATGATCGCATGATGGGAAAAACTTCAAAGACTCATATGATCGAGGCAAGCTTGCACGGATTGAAAAAAGCAGGGGGGAGGGGGTGGTTGGGGGGGGTCGCAGCCCCCCCCCCATTTGCAAACACAATCACAATGATAGCCCCCCCTCTTCCATTTGCAAACACAATTCTCGCATGCTGGGTTACAAAGGATTCATATGCTTTGAAACAAGCTTGCATGGCCTAAAACAAGCGGGGGGGTTGGGGGGGGGGGGCGCAGGCCCCCCCAGTTGCAAACACAATGATCGCATGATGGGTTTTGAAAAGACTCATATTATGCTTTGAAGCAAGGTTGCATGGCCTAAAAACAGCAGGGGGGTTGGGGGGGGGGCACAGCCCCTCCCATTTGCAAACACAATGATCGCCTGCTGGGTTTGAAAAAGATTCCTATGGATTGAAACAAGCTTGCACGGCCTTAAAAAAAGCGAGGGGGGATCGGGGGGGGGGGGGGGGGGCGCCCCCCCCCATTTGCAAACACAATGATCGCATGACGGGTGAGAATATTTCAAAGACTCATGTGATTTGAGGCAAGCTTGCACGGATTAAAAAAACCGGGGGGGTTCGGGGGGGCCGCAGCCCCCCCTTCTGCAAACACAATGATCGTCTGATGGGTGCAAAAATTTCAAAGACTCATATGATTTCAGGCAAGCTTGCACGGATTAAAAAGAAGCGGGGGGTTGGGGGGGGGGGGGGGCGCAGCCCCTGCCCATTTGCAAACACAATGATCGCATGATGGGTCTTAAACATTAAAAAAGACTCATATGATTTAAAGCAAGATTGCACGGCAAAAAAAACTTGCAAACACAATGATCGCGTGATGGGTTTTTTAAAGGTTCATATGCTTTGAAGCAAGCTAGGACCAGAGGCACGCAGGACCAGAAGACCACAGGACCAGAGGATCACGGGACCAGAGGACCAGAGGACCGCGGGAACAAAGGACCAGAGGACCAGAGGACCAGAGGACCACGGGACCAGAGGACCAGAGGACCACGGGACCAGAGGACCAGAGGACCAGCGAACCACGGGACCAGAGGACCAGAGGACCGGAGTTCCAGAGGACCAGAGGACCACAGGACCAGAGGACCACAGGACCAGCCAGACCTAAGAAAGGGAGAAAAGGAGAGCCAGACCTAAGAAAAAAAAAAACACCGGACCCCAGGAGGAGAGCCCAACAAAAAACGTATATAACAACAATACACTCAGTTCCTGCCAAAGCCACGCACTTGTCGGAATACTTGGGCATCTCCGGCCTGTCACGAAAAGCAGCCAAACAATGTCGATTTTTGTCAGATCCAAGTGGTCTAGACGGGTTGCAGATATATGATATACAGCTTTGGCCTCAAAGGATGTGGGGGGAGATTCTGCAGTGCGTAGTATCGGAGAGTTTCTGGCAGACGATATGGGAGGCTACTCCTGCGATAGGGTACTCCTGACTAGATCATCCTACGGAGACCCTGCTTGGCAGCTACACTCTTGTCGAAGACCTTATCGTTTGCTCTCAAAGTTGGCTCCCAGTGACTCTGTGATTCAAAAGCTGCCTTGGCTGATATTCTATGCTGATGTCACATGTTTGCTCGGAACAGGCACTGAACCGCATGGCCCAACACTTACCCTCGCCAAGCCAAGCGGCTCGAAGGTCTCAAGCGCAGGCTTCTTGGGAGCCTCCGAGGACTCCGGGAGCAACGGCGATCTACGCAGAAAAAAACAGGCATGCGATCACAAACAGCCGTGTCACAGGGGCACCTTAGTCATGCCGTGACAAGAGAAGCCAGAGAACAAAGCGCAGGCGCGTCAAACTCTACACCTTGCGGGAGATACCTCGGCATTTTTCTTGGTTGGGGTGGGCGAACAACAACACAAAAAACAGTAAGAACCAAATAAACTTTGATGATTATGATGTTTCAACCTTAAGGGAATCCGAGTCTTCTGGTGCCTTCCGTGTTGGGAAAAGACAAGAACGCATGGCGGCTTGCCGAATAGGCGCCTTTGGTCGTCTTGGGGGCGGTGGGGGCTTCACCTGCAACCATGGCAAGAGGGTTTAGGGTTTAGGGTTTAGGGTTTAGGGTTTAGGGTTTAGGGTTTAGGGTTTAGGGTTTAGGGTTTAGGGCGAAGATCACTCGAAGGGGGAGAGGGGGTTCCGAATAAGTAGGGGTCCCTTTTTGTGGTTGGGAAGGAGGGGGGGGGGTTCTTGCAACAAGGAGTACGGCGCTTCCATGATTTCCTTGGCCGCTTCAGGGTCAACAAAGGTTGGCTCTGCTGTTGAGAGATCTCCGGCGACATAGGCACGAGTATACCTCTATACAGGGCTGTTGTAGAGATGGGAACTTCTTCTTTCTAAGGGGACCTGACTCCTTCAACACTCAACAAAGGGAAATAACGGCTAATGGGGGTATGGGCTTCGTTTGGCTTTCAGAGCTTTTTCTAGGCTTTTTGGCCAAACACAAGAGCACTTAGCGAGTATGCAGAATGCCCAGGTGTACTTTCGCAATCAGGATTCTAACTAAGCCGTCGATGCCACCGCGACTCAAAAGGGGGCCCTGGCCACTTCCCCTCGGCCCCCGAGCCCGCCTTTGGCACAGGCGACTGGCCCAAGAGGCCGCCAGAAGCAGGCTTGACGCCCTTCGCCTCCACAGCCAAAGGCGGGGCAAACCAGGTTTGGATGCTCTTAGGGGCGCTCATGAGTGTGCTAACAAACCCCTCGTTGTCAACTTAGCGCCAGTTGCACTGTGGGTAGAAGGTG